GTGTGTGTGTGTGTGTGTTCGTGCGTGCGTTTGCGTGTCCATGCGGGTAGCCCAGTGCATCTGTGTATCCTCACAAACAAATAGGTTTCTCGTTTGTACTTGTTTCCACGACCGTTCCACATTCCCTTCTTTTAACGCCAGCAAAAGTAGATTGCTTTCTTCACCTTCACACAGCTCTCCGGTCTGTTGTTGAGTAATGTTGGATCCTTTATTGGTAGGTTAGAGCTGTATGAGCTGACTCCGAGAGGCAAAATCCGTTTGACACCCGCCAGAGGTCTTTACGGCAAACTGGAGAGGTCCCTAATGCTGTTTGATTCGTCTGGTAAGTTTTCGTTGTAAGGACCAAGGAAGGAAGAAGGAGGGGATGGGGGTGGAGGTGGAAGGGGAAAGGTGTGTGTATACCAGGAAATATGTGTACCTTATATTCCTCAGACTTCAGTTACGTGAACAATAAATGAATAAATAAATAAATAAATAACATGTCTTTAAAAAAACACAGAACAACATAAGCAAACAAAGCTACACTTATCAACCGTTTCCTCATTCGTTCCGCAATATGAACCCGATGTCTCCACAAGACCACAACATTGGTTATTGACTTTAGGTCCGTTCTATGGTCACTTCACTATACTCTATGTCCATCTTAAGTCAATCACGCCTCTGTGTTAGTTCACAGTGTTTCGTTATCTGGTTATTACAGGCACAGAGTCAAAACCTTCCTTAACAATAAGGGTAAACGACAGATAACACCTTTTGACTATAGGTTCATGCAGGTGTATAGATACACACCAGGCTATATCCCCAGGCTAAGAGGAGACTGGCTATCGTAGTTACGATTGTTTGTTAGAGGGAATGACCCAATGGTTTAACAAACCAGGAGGAGGAGGAGGAGGAAGAGGACGGGGAGGAGGGGAAAGGACGCTGGGAAAGGACGAGCAGGAATAGGAGGATGAGAAGGAAGAGGAGGAGGAGGCAGATGGGGAAACGACAAGGATGAGAAGGATGAGGATGTGGAAGAGGGGAAGGAAGAGAAGGAGCAGGGGAGGGGAAGGAAGGAAAGAGAAGAAGAGGAGGAGGAAGAGGAGGAGGAGGGGGGTAGCGGGGGCAAAGAGCGAAGGAAGAGGTAGAGAATGAGAAGGGGGACGCGAAGGTGGAGGATGAGGAGAAGGAGGAGGAGGGAGGAGGAAGAAGAAGAAGAAGAAGAAGAAGAAGAAGAAGAAGAAGAAGAAGAAGAAGAAGAAGAAGAAGAAGAAGAAGAAGAAGAAGA